CAGTTGCTTTTTTTTTTAGGTTGCTTGTTTCTTGTTTTTTTAATGCACTAGGCCCCCTTTTAGAGGGGCAATGGAGTCCTGTCTTGCAAAATTTAAATGTTTAGGGGGGCTCTGTTTCTGGTGTCTCTTTAAAAACTTCCCTAAAATGGCCCCAAAAATTTGTCAAATGTTCATGTTGCCCAAAATGGCCCTTTCAACAACTTTGGTTTTTGGGGTTTTTTTCTCCATAAGCTTTCCCTCTTACCCCACATAGTAAAAATCTCTTTAATTTCTGAAAAAAGGGACCTTCTTTCCCTCTCTCTTCCTTTTCCCCGCCCGCAAGATTCTGAGCTGCAATGTGTTGCTCTTCCTGCTGAAGCTCTTGCAGCTCCCCAAAGGGGGAGGTCTTCCCCCAATTCTTTCCCCATATCCAAAATCACATTCCCAACCCCCTGGAACTCCCCAGTGCCACAAATTGATTTTTTCAACCCGACATTTGGGCTCATCAGGGGCAGTCCCCCAAAACCCCTTTAGAATCCCCCCTTGTCGACACAATCTGGCCACAATTTTTTCCCCCGGGAGAGTTTTAAAAACCTGGGAGTCACTCCCCCAAAACCCTACCTATAAGGGTTATGCAAAGGAGGTTTCTTTAAGTTTCTTTCCAAAATTCCCTTAGGGTCCAAATGAGTGTCTGTTCAAAATCAACCCCTGTGAAACATTGCTTTTGTGTAGAGGTTTTTTTTTAAAATTTTGCAAAGACCTCGGGGCCAAAGGCTGGGGAGAGGGGGTGGTATTCTGGGGGAAGAACTTTACTGTGATGAAACCCCCAAATCCCCGAAAATTGGGGCACCCAAATTTGGAGGATGAGGGAAAGGGGCATTGTCCATTACTAGCAGGCACTTGAGATCCAATTTCTTTTTGGAGATACTCTTCACAAAAGGGCCAAAAAACTTTATTGAACCCCCTCGACGAAAAAATTTTCCCCCGTGACCATGCCTTTCTATTTGATTTCCCAAAAAACCCCCACAATTTACTCTTCATAACATTTTTTTTTCCTGAAACTCTGGGATTTTCGGGAAAGGTTTCATGGGAATGGCTTTCCAATTTTAAAACCCCCCTAGCTTTTGCACGAAAAATTAGCGTCAGCCTGTCTTTTTATTTGACCCTTTTGTCCTGGGATTGCCTTTTCCTCTTGTTAATGAAGGTCCCCCCCTTTTGGGATTTTCTTCCAAAAAAAGGCCGGTTTTGTCACAATTGAAACCCAAATTTTTTCAGGTTTCAGTCCTTCAGGGCCCCAAAGGGACTCCGGAATTCATGCCAGATTTTCACCCCCTTGTGGGCCGAAAAGGGGGCCTCACCACCTTACCCCACTGTGTATGCCAGTACGGTTTTTTAAATTTTCCAAACCAGCCTTTGTTGGCCTTTAAAATTAAATCAAAACAACCCCTATTTTGCAGGGAATTTTTTACCCAAAACTTTATGCAAAATGCCCAGCCTTTTCACAAATAAAGAAGTCAGAAGAGTATCTCCTGTAATTGTTTCCAAATTTTTCCCCCACCCCCAAAAATAAATTCTCAAACCTCTTCGAGTACTGGGGATCTAATTTTTTTTCAGCATAGTTACTCCCCTTTTCAACAACAGTGTCCTTGATTTCCTTTTTCTTGGCCCCTATGGAAAAAAAAGGTTTTGTAAGGTTTCTTATAATCCTGGACAGTTCGGCCCCACTTGTTTCCACTTTCTATTGTTCAATGGGTGGTTTTTTTTTAAAAATTTAATTTTATATTTCTTTACCTTCTTTACACAGGCTTGGGAAAGGACTTTTTTGGAGCCTTTGGGAGCCTTTTTAGTTTCTTCAAAACCCCTAAAATAAATGGAAAATGGGAAAAAAAATTCACTGGAGCAAGTGAGGGGACCTTTGCTAAATGGCAAAAAAATTCCCGACTGGGCCCCCACGGCTCACGCCCCTGGGTACGCGTCCGGGGCGAATTAAAGACTCTCGAGTCAAAAAAAAGAAAAACCCGGGCCATGTTTATACAAAACCCTATGAAATTTGGGGAAATTTACGATTTCCCGGAACTCGAAAAAATGAAAGGGGTCACGGTATTGTGATAATAATTCACCCCTTAAAATAAAATTTTAATACAGTAAGGGGGGGGGTGGGCAAACCCTTTTTAAAAACCCCTTTAAATGGCCAAGGCAGATTTTGCATTAAAATGCATAAAGCCCCCAAAAGTAGATTACATTTTTTTTACATATTTTCAAATACATGTATAACAAAAAAAAAAGATCTAAGTTTTTTTACACATTTTCAAATGTACAAAAAGAAAAAAAAAGATTACTTTGTTTACATACTTTCAAATGTTGAAAAAACGTATACGCGTTTGGACCATTTACAGGTTAAGTGTGCGTGCCAAAGGCGGCCATATCATTGATACAAAATCTCTGGAAACATATGGGGACTGTTTCCCTGCTTTTCTTGGAACGGATACGTGATAAATGTTACAACTTTTTTATTTGACATGAGACCAGAGGTTAGCATGGTGGAAAGAAGTCGTTGGCATGCCAGGTTTGGCACGTGTGCTAAGGATTGCCCATTCCTGCAGTAGGGCCTCAACTTAGACATCAGTGTGCATCTCTGAAATTCATTGCAAGTCACTTGTTTGGTGCTGGGAACCCATTTTCCCACAGAAACCCATATTATATGATTGAAATGTTCCAAGCCATAATACTTTTCCACAGAAACCCATGTTATAATGAAATAATATTTTCCCCAGTCATATATTTCGTCATAGAAACCCATGTTATAATGACATATATTCTGAAATTTTGGCCTAGACATGAGAGAATAGGTCTGTGAGGGAAGTGTGCACAGTATGAAACAATCCTGCTTCATGTGGTGCATGATGGGAAAAGCAAACCTCTGAGTTTGTGTTTAGCTTAAAAGAGTGACTGAGGTGTTTCATAGGATGGTAGGTATACTACTGAAATAGATATAATTTTGGTCAGTTCAGGAATGGAAGTAACATGAAATAGGGCACCAAGTAGTGGAAATATAAAAAAATTTGATGATTTTCCTAAGGTTAACCCTTTGACTGTCGCAGCCGTATATATACGTTTGTGAGGTACCGTGTTTGACGTATATATACTCATAAATTCTAGCGGCTTCAAATCAGGCAGGAGAAAGCTAGTAGGCCCACATGTGAGAGAATGGGTCTGTGTGGTCAGTGTGCACCACATAAAAAAAATCCTGGAGCACGCAGTGCATAATGAGAAAAAAAAAACTCCGACCGTTTTTTTTTTTAAATTAAAAAGCCGAATTTGTGGTCTATTTTTCGTATAGTATTTGTGGTTGTATTCTCGTTTTCATGGTCTCATTGATAGAAAGGAAACTATATTATAGAAATGGAGGTGATTTTGATTAATTTTCTATAAAAAGAACCTGGAAATGGAGCACAAAGTACAGGAAATGTTTGATTTTTGCCGATGTTAAAAAGTTAAACAAATGATGTCATTGTCCAATAAATGTCCCCAAAAAGCCATTCTAATACGCAGTCATGAATGGGTTGATGTAATTTTTACAATTATTACAGTATTGCAGTAGTCTGCATAACAGTAAATCTTCTATTTTTGTTTGAATAAAATTTCAAAAAAAAAAGCAAAGTAATATCACAGGGGCCTGGAGACATGACTGATGAACAAAGAAAATTTATTTTAGAGCCAGGAATGTCTGCATTGTTCATTCTGGACCTTATTTTGAAATTGTCATATTTTTTAATTTTTGTGAAAATTGGGCCAAATTGCAAATTTCTGACCATGTTATTGGGTAGTTGAAATCGTAAATGGCAGTTTCTTGTGCTCAATCGATAGAAAAAATAGAGTTCTGAAGAAATAGTTATGAGTTTGGTTTACTGGAATAACGGAATTAGCCGAAAATAGGGCTCAAAGTGGGCGAAATTGCCGATTTTTAAATATCGCCGAAGTCGCTAACTTCGCGAGAGAGTAATTCCGTCAGTTTTCCATCAAATTTCGTTTTTTTGGTGTCTTTACAATCGGGAAAAGATTCTCTATCATTTCATAAGAAAAAATAATTTTTTTTTTTTTCGAATATTTTGCGACACCAGGAGCAACTTCAGGATTGGGCCCTTCGACAGTCAAAGGGTTAAGGCTCCCTGATACACTTAAGTCTGTCTTATGGGATTTTACTACATCTGCTTCAATTATTGAGATGCCCTAAACCACAGCCGATCATTTCTGCTTATATTTTAGTATTATATTAGTTCTGAGGTGGTCAGTCCCTCAGCCTGGAGAAGAGTTCTGTTCCATAGTCTGGAATAGTGTGGAGACTTGTATATGTACTGGCAAGGGTGAGGCACAGATAATCTGAAGATGACAAAATCTAACAAACTACTTTATTACCTGCTAAATATATTTTGTATATTTACTTATCCTTTTCTTCATAAAATATGTATTATTTATACAAACCTCTTTCTACACATGGCTCAATTAAAGGCTCCCCATTTTCATTTACCCTTGGCACCCCAAATTTACCTACTACTCCCTCCACAACATTTTTGCCCACTTTAGCATTGAAATCCCCAACCACCATTACTCTCACACTTGATTCAAAACTCCCTACACATTCACTCAACATTTCCCAAAATCTCTCTATCTCCTCCTCCCTTCTCTCTTCTCCAGGTGCATATAATACGCTTACTATAACCCACTTTTCACATCCAACCTTTATTTTACTCCAGATTATCCTTGAATACATTTATAGTCCCTCTTTTCCTGCCATAACTTATCCTTCAACATTATTGTTACTCCTTCTTTAGCTCTAACTCTATTTGAAACCCCAGACCTAATCCCATTTATTCCTCTTCACTGTAACTCTCCCACCCCCTTCAGCTTTGTTTCACTTAAAGCCAGGACATCCAGCTTCTCATTCATAACATCCACAATCATCTCTCTCTTATCATTTGCACAACATCCACGCACATTATTATTATTATTATTTCTTTCAGGGTAGGGAGGTGCTGGAAGATTACGCAGCCTCTGTGACTATACGAGGTCTGATGCATGCCAATAGAGGTATTGTTTCTAGTGGTGGATGGCGTCCATTCACACGACCTCAGTGGTATAGTGTACACAAGGAAACTCGACAGAATGTGCTAGGTCTGAAGGATGAATACCAGATATCCTTACTGACTTTGGAGGAACTTACAACAGTCATGGTTCCACTGAAGGCCAAAATTTTGACTAGTGAAGGGAGAGGTATGTACATAATAGTAGTAGGAGTTCACAAAATGCGGTAGATATTTTTATATGCATCTACTTGAAAGCTTCAGTGCATAAGGAAGGATATATGAATCAGTCAGTTAATGTAAATGCAATACACTCTACAGTATATGGTTAATTAAATTTTGGATGTGAAATGTTCTCTAAAAATTTGAATGCTTTGATAGGAGCAAAAGTTTTGATTTATAATTAGGAAAATCACATTTTGCTTGAATCAATTATAAAATAATTCCTCAGCTGTTCTCATATTCTTCCCTTTAGTTTCAGATTAATTTATTATTTAGAATGTTTGTAAAATCTTAGTGAATGATGAGAATTAAAGCTTGTTGAAATAAGATCTTGCACAGAATTGCTGGAAACCTAATCTAGTGTTGGCAGCACACCTGGACTCTGTTTCTCACATCATTTTATTACAATACAACTACTATTTTCTTGGTTATTACTTTTTCACTTGCATTCTTCTTTAACATATGTTTGCTTGGTACATATGGGTACGGTGGGTTCCTACTTGTTTGAAACAGTTTATTTTAGTAAATTGATATACTTATGGACCCAGCTGATCCTGTCTTCCATGTTTGTGTTTTTTCCTTTGCTCTTGCTTATTCAGATTCTTTTGTCTTTGTTGAAAGCTCCTCTGTGTTTAGTACAATTTGGTAACACTGTATGACTTCTATTTTTTACAATGTTAACGTGTACTGTGTGTGTCTGCTACATCCAGTTCACCAGGTTCACATTAATTAACCCTCCCTCTCACTCTTCATGTCCTTCAAATAATGACTAACTGAATGTGAGGAGAAATACTCTGCAGGGGTAGGAGTTGTCCTAGGAAAGGTTGGAGGGAGGAGGTAAAGGAGGTTTTGTGGGTGAGGGGCTTGGACTTCCAGCAAGCATGTGTGAGCCTGTTAGATAGGAGTGAATGGAGATAAATGATTTTTGGGACCTGACGAGCTGTTGGAGTGTGAGCAGGGTAATATTTTGTGAAGGGATTCAGGGAAACCGGTTAGCCGGACTTGAGTCCTAGAAATGGGAAGTACAATGCCTGCACTTTAAAGGATGGGTTTGGGATATTGGATGTTTGGAGGGACATCTAAACTGTTGTATCTGAGTGCTTCTGCAAAGACAGTTATTATGTATGAGTGATGGTGAAAGTGTTGAATGATGATGATGATGAAAGTTTTTTTTTTCTTTTTTGGGTCACCTGCCTTGGTGGGAAATAGCCGATGTATTAAAAAAAAATGTAAGAGATGGATATTAAAAGTAAACTTAGAAAAAAAAGATGATGAGAGTTGCAAAAACAGTCTAGGCAATGATAGATTTAGGACCAGATTGTAGAGAGGGTGTATGTATTCCTATACAGTGGACCCCCGCTTACCGATCACCTCCAAATACGACCAATTATGTAAGTGTATTTATGTAAGTGCGTTTGTACGTGTATGTTTGTGGGTCTGAAATGGACTAATCAACTTCACAATATTCCTTATGGGAAAAAATTCGGTCAGTACTGGCACCTGAACATACTACTGGAATGAAAAAAGTTCGTTAACCGGGGGTCCACTGTATTTGGAAATAGGCATGTCAGCAGATGGGTCTCTGAAAGATGAGGTAAATCATAGAATAGATGAAAGGATAAAGGTACGTAATGTGTTAGGCATCTGTATAAAAGAATATATATGAAGGCCAAAAAAAAAAAAAAAAAAAATGTTCCAGAGTACAGTGCTACCAATACTTACATTTTATTTATTTATTTATATTTTTTTTTCTTCTTCAACAAGTTGACCGTCTCCCACGTAGGCAGGGTGACCCAAAAAAGAAAGAAAATCCCCAAAAAGAAAACATTCATCATCATTCAACACTTTCACCTCACTCACACATAATCACTGTTTTTGCAGAGGTGCTCAGAATACAGCAGTTTAAAAGCATATACAGTGGACCCTCGAGTTTTGGCAGCCTCGACTTTCGTGAAATTCGACCTTCAGCGAGTTTTTTTTGGCAAAATCTGGCCTTAAGTCTCATGATTAGACTCGTGTTTCAGCGACCGTCCAGTACCTGTCCGCCCACACACCAAGCCAGTCTCCCACGCCATTCACGCTCAGTGTGCCATTGTTTACCAACACATGACCATCACCCCGCGGGTTCATACAATACATTTCATAATCATTGTTTTTTGTGCTTGCAACTGCTAAATAAGTCATCATGGACCCAAGGAAAGCAAGTGCAAGCCCTTTGGTAAATAAAGTGAGGAACACGATCCGGAGGGATTTTGAAGGGTTTGAGGCAGACCTTGTCCCTGCTGACCCTCTGCCTGTTGTGGAAGGTGTTGTGGCATTGGGCAAGTCCATGTGGTTAGAGGTGAGTGATGGGGATGTGGAAGAGTTGGTGGAGGACCACAGGGAAGAGCTAACTACTGACGAACTGCAAGAGCTTCAACTGGAACAGCATCAGACCACAGCTGAGGAACTTGTTTCAGAGGAGGAGGAAGAGGGAGTGGATGAGGTGCCTTCTTCAAAGATTAAGGAGATTTGTGCCAAATGGAAAGAGTTGCAAAGTTTTGTTGAAAAGTATCACCCTGACCAAGCTGAAACAAGCCATATCTGCAACATGTACAATGACAGCGTTGTGTCCCACTTCAGGAAAATCTTAAAGAAACGCCAGAAAAAGACAACTCTGGACAGATATTTTGTGCGACAGGGGTCCAGTGACTCTCAAGTTGTTCCCAGTGGCATTAAAAGAAGAAGGGAAGTAACTCCAGATAAGGACTTGCTACCTAAAGTCCTAATGGAAGGAGATTCTCCTTCCAAACAATAGTGTACACCTTCCTCCCATCCCCTCCTCCCGTCTTCCATCCACCCAGAAGTCTTCAGTAAAGGTAAGTGTAATGTTGTTATTATTTTTTATATGCATGTACTTGATTTCTCATTGATTTCAGTATATAAATCTTTATTTAATTTGAAAAAAAATATTTTATTTTAATATTTTTGGGTGTCTGGAACGGATTAATTTTATTTCCATTATTTCTTATGGGGAAAATGGTTTCGAGTATTTCGACTTTCGGCAGGCTCTCTGGGACGGATTAATCACGAAACTCGGGGGTCCACTGTACGTATGAAGATACACAACATATCCCTCCAAACTGCCAATATCCCAAACCCCTCCTTTAAAGTGCAGGCATTGTACTTCCCATTTCCAGGACTCAAGTCCGGCTATATAAAAATAACCGGTTTCCCTGAATCCCTTCACTAAATATTACCCTGCTCACACTCCAACAGCTCGTCAGGTCCCAAATACCATTCGTCTCCATTCACTCCTATCTAACACGCTCACGCACGCTTGCTGGAAGTCCAAGCCCCTCACCCACAAAACCTCCTTTACCCCCTCCCTCCAACCTTTTCGAGGACGATCCCTACCCCTCCTTCCTTCCCCTACAGATTTATACGCTCTCCATGTCATTCTACTTTGATCCATTCTCTCTAAATGACCAAACCACCTCAACCCCTCTTCTGCCCTCTGACTAATACTTTTATTAACTCCACACCTTCTCCTAATTTCCACACTCTGAATTTTCAGCATAATATTCACACCACACACTGTCCTTAGACAGGACATCTCCACTGCCTCCAACCACCTCCTCGCTGCAGCATTTACAACCCAAGCTTCACACCCATATAAGAGTGTTGGTACTACTATACTTTCATACATTTCCTTCTTTGCCTCCATAGATAGCGTTTTTTTTGTCTCCATATATACCTCAAGGCACCACTCACCTTTTTTCCTTCATCAATTCTATGATTAACCTCATCCTTCACAAATCCATCCGCTGACACGTCAACTCCCAAATATCTGAAAACATTCACTTCTTCCATACTACTACTCCCCAATTTGATATCCAATTTTTCTTTATCTAAATATTTGATACCCTCATCACCTTACTCTTTTCTATGTTCACTTTAAACTTTCTACCTTTACACATACACCCAAACTTGTGCACTAACCTTTGCAATTTTTCTTTAGAATCTCCCATGAACACAGTATCATCAGCAAAAAGTAACTGTTTCAATCCCCATTTTGTATTTGATTCCCGACAATTTAATCCCACCCTTCTCCCCTCTTTGAATGTTAAAACAAGAATGAGACTAGAGGCAGTGGAGGCAGCATGTTTGATATCAGTGTGTGGTGTCAATGTTTGGCAGAGGGTGGGTTCACCAAAGATATAATTCAGAAGGCTGAGGAGAGTTGTTGAGGTGGTTTGGACACTTAGGGAAGATGGAGAGGGACAGGATGATGATAAGGATGTATAAATCTGGGGTGGAAGGTAGACTTGCTCTTGGAATATCAGCAAGGTAACAGTTCTGAAGGGGTTCAGGTTAACTGGGTATCCAGATTTTAATCGTGCAGGTGGGTAGGGCAGTGCCTGAACTTGGAAGGAGGGGTGGGTATGTTGAAGTCAGAGAGTAATCTGAATTGTGATGTCAGCACTCTTCTGTTAAAACAACAACATAAATGAATGATGGTGAATGTGTTTTCTTCTTTGGATCACCTTGCCTTAGTAGGAGATGGCTGTTGAGGTAAAAAAAAAAAAAAAAAAAACAGGGGTGGTGGGGGATTGCTGAATCTGTAGCAGTCATACAGCCCTGGGAGGAATGGAGGGCAATTAGTTTTGATCCAGAGAAGGGAAAAGGTCATGTTCAGTTCCTTAGATGAAGATATCTTGTAAGAATTTAGTTATTTATATTGCTTATTTTACTTGAGATCTTTCATCTACAAATGTTCATGTACTGTACATATTTTATGGCAAATAAGACGCTCCGGTGTCGAGGATGCCTCCCCCAAGTCTGACTGGTTAAATTTTTGAAAAAAAAAAAAAAAACCAGCATCCATGGTAATAGTCATGTTAAGCCTGAGGCATTACATGTTAAAAACACGTGTTATGGTTCACTCTGCATTTTTTATCACTGATGCAGCTGGCTGGCAGGTTCGCCAGTCAGCTAAAACAAATTATCATATATAATAACGTGTGTAAATTACCTAGGATAACCCAGAAAAGTCAGACAAGTGACTTATTTCACTGGAGTCCTTGATTTTCATTGTTTTTGGGTACTAAGTAGTTCTTCAATTTTCTTATGCTTGACAGTATTTTTGTGTCTTTCATTGTCATTCAGTTTAGCTGCACTTGAACATTTGCAGGACACTGACTCATTCGAGTCATGTACAATACATAAACTGGACCTGACTGGCCGTGTTCTCTGTCTATTCACTCTCTGAATGCGGGCAAGTGGATGTGTCTATGTCTAGGACTGTATATTCATTTGTGAGTTTTTTCATGCATTTTAGAAATATTTAATAAGGTTACATTCGTACTGCAACACACCCAAGACAAACCTACAGTGTGCAAATGGCAACTTTTGTGTATTACTACCATATCTTACTGTAGCTTACTGCTGCATTTTACTGTATCTTATTGTACCTTACAGCCGTATTTTACCATATCTTACTGGTGTCTTTTCTTAACATATCTTACTGTTGTAATTTACCGTATCTTACTACTGTTTGATAGTAAACAGGTGAATTAGCCTACTGATACTACTGTAGTACATCTGATTCCATTGCTTGGATTACCTTAGCCTACCACTGCTAAGTGCCAACAAAATTTTACAATTTCTGTTATTTATTCATTATTTTATACAAAATAGTTGACAGAGTTCATTATTGGGTCATATACAGTTGATTAGGTTGAGGCTTCTGAGCAGAACAGGTGTGACTTGGACCTGCCTAGTATGGGCCAGCAGGCCTGCTGCAGTGCTCCTTCTTTCTCATGTTCATATGTAGCCTTTGGCCTCCAAAATGCTGAGTAAATTTTTGAGCTTATTTTGGAAAGAAAATAGCATCTTTCACACTGTAAAATATGGTAGTTCTTTTGTTTTTTCTGGTACTGGTAGGTCATTTGTACAACTTATGGCACTAATTTTGACATTCTCCCATGAAGACATTTTTTTCTCATTTGTATTTTCTTCTCAGAAAATTTTTCATACATTGTAATAATAGTTTTTCCATTTATTCCTCTTCTTTTCACTCATTTCTCACCAAGACAGGGTGACCCAAAAAAGAAATGCTTTCACCATCATTTACACTATCACTGTCTTGTCAGAAGTGCACAGATATGACAGTTTAGATGTCTCTCTCTAAACAGTAAATATCCCAAACCTCTCCTTAGAGTGAAGGCACTGTACTTCCTACCTCCAGGACTTAAGTCTGGTTAACCAATTTCTCTGAATCCCTTCACAAAATATTACCTTGTCCACACTCCAACAGCTTGTCAAGTCTCAAAAACCATTCGTCTCCACTCCTGTCATGCTCACACAGCCTTCTTTACCCTCTCCCTCCATCCTTTCCTAGGATGACCCCTATCCCGTCAAATAATAATTGTTGAAAGAATAAATTTTTGAGGAATGCAAGCCATATGTGAACATTACTTGCAACTTTCTTTATATTGTTACATTTTCAGTTCCTGACTTGCAGTATCACTTATGTTTTGTAATTTCCAGATTCATCTTTCATGGGAACTTTCAGAAATTTTCTTAAGCTCATGATTTATATCTCTTAGTACAGTGGAACCTTGGTACTCGAACTTAATTAATTCCAGAAGGCTGTTTGAGTGCCAGTCTGTTCAAGTATCGAACGAATTCTTCCCATCCCATTTTCTTTTAGGTTGGCTGTTATCACTAATCTTCATAGGCACCATGGTGACTTATTTCTACAAATAATATACAAAAAATGCAAAGAAACACAAAATACTTTACAGCGAAGTTCTGGCAGGTCATGTTTGTTTGGTCAAGTGCCGAGTAGGGAGCTGTTTGAGTACCGAGGTTCCACTTTTTTTTTTTTTTTTTTTAAGTGGAGACAGCATACCACTGCTGTATAGTTCACTTTTGGTTGAACATGTGTTGTAAACAACTTTCTCAGTAATTCGCCATACATACACACATTTAAAAATTATTTGAAAGTTGGCCAGTGATGTACAGGAGTTTCTCAGTATTGTCTGTTTCTATCAGTGAATTGCTCTTTTGTTACATCATTTATTTTTCCGTAGGTCATCACTCCCTTACAAAAACAGTGGGTCTGTTCTCCCAAGTCCAGCTAAGAAGCATTGGTGAGAGAATAGGGGAACAAGACATTGATGTTTCTATTACAGAGGATGAGGAGTAAGGAAAGTGGCCTCTAGAAGAGACTCTCACTCATATTTTCCAACAAAGAACTAATTGCAAATAACCAGGATGATCAGAGGAAGATTTTAGGATAGATGACTATGATGATGAGTAGTAGCTTTGCATTCTTCTGTTTGTCTTAAAAGATGTACACTCTGTAAAGTGGTAAAAAATAATTTAAATGTAACTTTTTCACATATTCATACAAGTGTATGCTGTATTTACATAGATATGCATTATAGCATTAATACTTTGGTAAATACTGTACATGTGATCCCCTCTAGGGAGGTGCCTGGAACCTAGGAACTGGATTTGTCCTCCCCTTGGATCAAACCTGAATGCTTCCCATTCCCCAGGCATTATATGACCTGTATGGGTTTAAGCTTCCCTCCTGATTAAAATAAAATGTTCGTGTGACCTGATGTCTGATGCTACCAGTAAAAAAACAGGGTTACTGAAAGCTTTATTTTTTAAACCTTGGCACTCTGTAAAGTTTTGTTAATTAGCTGATTTCTTGTTTTGCTTCAATACAGTTGTTCACTAGAGAAAAGCAAACTAAGATTGAGAGTTATGTATAAAGTAAACCCTTGATTAACACAACTCAAAAAACATAGAATTCACATTGAATATATTGCTCTGAAAAACATCAACTGTAGTTGATTTTCACTGAAAATTCCTAAAAACAAGATGCTATTTGTGAAAGATTGGAGCAGTGGACACAGCCGACATTTCAGTGGGGAAATATGGAGGGTTAAAAATCATACGATGCTGAAAAATCAAAGAAATTATTGTTAAAAACATAATTTTCAGTATGCATGTTAAATATCTTAAACTGAACTCCCATGCTGTCATGGTCACTCTAATATAGTGAAAATTAGCCATTACTCAGAAAAAAATTTGCATCTGGGGTCTTTAGTCCCTTACTCATCTCCAATGGCTGTGTGACTGGTCAGGTGAGTGACACACACAAAGCTCAGCAGAGATTTGATACAAGAATGTGACAAAAACTGTCACAACAAACAGTTTGACTTTAATATTGTACATTATTACTAAATTACAAGTAGTAGGTTGGTAGACAGCAACCACCCAGGGAGGTACTACCGTCCTGCCAAGTGAGTGTAAAACGAAGCCTGTGATTGTTTTACATGATGGTAGGATTGCTGATGTCTTTTGTCTGTCTCATAAATATGCATGATACAGCATGCTTTGCTACTTCTACTTACAATTAGGTCACACCAGATAAATTACATGTACACATTTATTTATACACACTCACTGAGTTTTCTTTGATTTTATCTTATAGTTCTTGGTATTATTTAATTTTCCTTTTATATCCATGGGGGAAGTGGATATAAGAATCTTTCCTCCGTAACATGGCGTGTTGTAAAGTCAACTAAAATGCCGGGGGGGAACAATGGCGCTAGTAACCTTTTCCTGTAAAGATTCACTAAAAGATAAGAAGAAGAAAATTGTCAAAAGTGGGAAGTCTGATTGTTGCGTGGATTGTTGTGCAGATGATAAGACAGAGATGCATTCGCTGGCCTTCGCTCGCATGAATGAGAAGAAAGCTGGATTGTCCTGGCTTTAAAGTGAAACAAAGCTGAAGGGGTGGGAGAGTTTCGTGGAGAGGAATAATGGGATTAGGTAGGGAGTTTCAAATAGAGTTAGAGCTAAAGAAGGGAGTAGCAATAATGTTGAGGAAAGCTTATGGCAGGAAAAGAGGGACTATAAAAATGTATTAATTCAAGGATTATGTGGAGTAAAATAAAGATTGGTGTGAAAAGTTGGGTTATAATAAGCGTGTATGCACCTGGAGAAGAGAGAAGTGTAGAGGAGGAGAGAGAGGTTTTGGGAACATGTTGAGTGAATGCGTGGGGATGTTTGAATCACGTGTCGAGAGTAATGGTGGTTGGGGATTTTAATGCTAAAGTGGGTTAAAAATGTTTATGGAGGGAGTAGTAGGTAATTTTGGGGTGCCAGGGGTAAATGTAAATGGGGAGCCCTTTAATTGAGCTATGTGTGAAGAAAATTTCGGTAATAAGTAATACATATTTGATGAAAAAAGAGGATAAATAAATATACAAGGTATGATGTAGCACGTAATGAAAGTCAGTTTAATAGATTATGTATTGTGGAATATAAAAGGCTTGATATGGGTAGGCTCCAGGATTGTCCATGTTTATAGAGGGGCAAACTGATATATCGGGATCATTATTTAGTTGTAGCTAACAGTTAGAGCTAAGATGTTAGATGGGAAAAAGAGGAAGGTGGAACAACAATAAGGAGGAGGTGAAAGTGTATAAACTAAGGGAGGACGGCAAGTTCGGGTGAGATACAAGCGACTATTGGCAGAAAGGGTGGCTAGTGCAAAGATGAGTAGTGGGGGGGGTTGAAGAGGGTTGGAATTGTTTTAAAAATGGCAGTATTAGAATTGTGGGGCAGGAAGTTTGTGGTTTTATAGGAGGGTGGGGCAGGAGGAAAGAGGAGTTGATTGGTGGCAATGATGAAGTAAAGGGTGTGATAAAGAGAAAAGGTAGCTTATGAGAGGTTTTTACAAAGCAGAAGTGTTATAAGAGAGCAGAGTATATGGAGAGGTAAACGAAGTAAAGAGAGTGGTGAGAGAGTGCAAAAGAGAGAGCAGCATGATAGAGTGGGAGAGGCACTGTCAAGAAATTTTAATGTAAAATAAGAAAAAAATTTGGTATGTGACGTTGAACAAGTTAAGAATGCCTAGGGAAAATTATGGATTTGTCAGTTAAAAACAGAAGTAGGGGTAGTTTAGTAGTAATGGGGAGATGGAGGTATTGGGTAGATGGCGAGAATATTTTGAGGAACTTTTAATGTTAAGAAGAGAAACAGAGGCAGTAATAGTCATGCCACTGGTAAGGGAGGTAGACATCATTTTGGAGTGAAGAAGAGCAGAAGAGCAGATGTAAGTGTGGGGGAGGTACGTGAGGCATTACGTAAAATGAAAGGGGTGTAAAAGCAGTGGAAATGATGGGATCATGGACAGAAATGTTAAAAGCAGGGGGGATTATAGTGTTGGAGTGGTTGGTACATTTTGTTAATAAATGTATGAAAGAGGGGAGGTACCTAGGATTGGCAGAGAGCACAGAGAGCATGTATAGTTCCCTTTATATAAAGGGAAAGGGGACAAAAAGAGACTGTAAAAATGATAGAGGAAATAAGCTTACTAAGTATCCAGAAAAAGTGTACGGTAGGGTTATAATGAAGAATTAGAGGTAAGACAGATTTTGTAGGGGGGGGAGAAAATTGTGCGGGGGGGAGTGAGCCAAGGAGGTTTTAGAGTGGGTTACGGGGATGTGTAGATCAGGTGTTTGCATTGAAGCCTATATGTGAATGTATTTAGATAAAGATAGGGAAGTTTCTATTGCATTTTTATGGATTTAGAAAAAAGGCATATTGATAGAGTGGATAGACGGAGGCTAATGAGACAGATGTGCAAGTATATGGAATAGGTGGTAAGTTATTTAAAATGCTGTAAGAGTATTATGAGGATAGTGAGGCTCAGGTTAGGGTGTGTATAGAGAGGGGCACTACTTCCCAGTAAAAGTAGGTTTGACAGGATGTGTAATGTCACCATGGTTGTTTAATATATTTATAGATGGGTTGTAAAGGAAGTATAATGCTAGGGTTGTTTGGGAGAGAGGGGGTTGGGATTAAATTATGGGGAACACAAATCAAATTCAAAATGGGAATTGACACAGTTGCTTTTGCTGATGATACTGTATGCTTATGGGAGATTCTAACGAAAAATTGCAAAGGTTAGTGGATGAGTTTGGGAATGTGTGTAAGGTAGAAAGTTGAAATGTGTACATAGAAAAGAGTAAGGTGATTGAGGGTGTTCCAAATGATTTAGATAAAGAAAAATTGGCTATCAAATTGAGGGAGGGAGGAGGTATGGAAAGAAGTGAAATGTTTTCAGATACTTGGGAGTTGACGTGTCGGGCGGATGGGATTTATGAAGGATGAGGTTAATCAGAGAATTGATGAGGGGAAAAGAAAAAAAGGTGAGTGGTGCGTGAGGTATATGTGGAGTCAAAAAACGTTATCTTATGGAGGCAAAGAAGGGAATGTATGAAAGTATCGTAGTTCAACACTCTTATATGGTGTGAAGCATGGGTGGTAATGCAGCAGAGAGGAGACGGTTGGTGAGGCAGCGGAGCTGTACTGGTTTATTAGGGCAATGTGTGGTGTAAATTATTATGCAAGAAATTCGGAGTTGGAAAATTAGGAGGAAGGTGTGGAGTTAATAAAAAGTATTAGTCAAGAGGGCAGAAGAGGGGTTGTTGAGGTGGTATGGTCATTAGAGGAGAATGGAATCACAGTTAGAATGACATTGGAAGCATATAAATCTATAGGGGAAGGAGGGGGGTAGGGGTCGTCCTCGAAAGGGTTGATGAGAGGGGGTAAGGAGGTTTTGTGGGTAAGGGGCTTGGGACTTCCACGCAAGCGTGCGTGAGCGTGTTAGATAGACCGGTGAAATGGAGACGAATGGTACTTTGGGACCTGACGATCTGTTGGAGGTGAGCAGGGTAATATTTAGTGATAGGGATTCAGGGAAACGGGTTATTTTCATATAGTCGGATTGAGCCCTGGAAATGGGAAGTCAATGCCCTGCACTTTAAAGGAGGGGTTGGGATATTGGCAGTTTTGGAGAAGGGATATGTTGTGAATCTTTATTTGTTTAAGCTTCTAGACTGTTGTATTCTGAGCACCTCTGCAAAAACAGTGATAATGTGCGAGTGTGGTGAAATTGTTGAATGATGACTTGAAAGTATTTTCCTTTGGGGGGGGATTTTTCTTTCTTTTTTGAGGCTCACCCTTGCGCTCCACGCGCGCGCGAGTGGCCCGACTTGTTGAAAAAAAAAAAAAAAAAAAAATTACTAAATTAAGGGAAATTATTTCATACATTTTTGAATACCCTCTGGTTGTGCAGGGTTTCTTGGACAGATTAAAACTAAACTTAAAACTAACACTATATAGTTGTATAGTTGAAGTGGTTTATTTGTATGCTGGGTTATAGAATCAGGGTGTCAAAGATTTAAATCAGTAGATATATTGATGCTTGAAGTAACAAAGTTTTATATTAAAAACCTTTAGGGTCGGTCCCATTGTATCATGGCTTTGAAGCTGGATTGGTCCCGTTGTATTATGCCATGAGCCCAGTTCACTCAGATAAGCTGCGAGCGGAAAAATTTGGCCCGATAGAGAAAGTAGGTGATGTGGAAGTGCATGCGGAATTTTTTTTAATAAAAAAATTCCTCAGCACGCGTGCATGTTTTTGGTTCCCTGGAGGGGTTTTTTTTGGGGGGCAGCCCCCCGGGCCTGGTTGAGAACCCTCGGGTAAATTGGTCTGACAACCAGGTTTTTTCTCCCGGCCAATGCAAGTGATGTACGAGCCCAGTCCGGTTGGCGTTAGATGGTCAATCA